AGGAATTCCAGTAAAAGAAAGAGGATGTTATTTAAGAGGACAATGGGATGATGAAACAGTTGGGACTGCTTACGTTGATGCCTTAGGAACAATTTTTGGCAATCCTAACTTAACGATTCTTCCAAAAAGCTACGAACATTTACTAACTTTAAGCACCAAAATACTTCATTACATCCTGATAAGTATCATTCTCTCAAAGCAATATCATCATGATGAAGTAAGCCATATGGAACTAGGTACCATGTATTGGATTATGAAGGGACATAACAATTGTTTTGGTTACCTAATCCAACAAAATATGATTGAACTATCAAAAAAGGACATGATGCTTCCATATGGTGGCTTAATCATAAGACTACTCCATGCCTATGATATTGCTATTCCACCCGACGAAGAAGTTATAAAACTAGACAGATTTAGTATCATAAATAGAAATATATTTCGACGGATGAGATGTACATTCAGAAATGGTATATGAACTAGACTGCCTAGAAGGACTGATCCCCTCCAACCAGAACCAGAACCTGAAACACCAATTTTTAGGAGTAATCTATCTCCTCCAACTGATCCCTTTGAGGAATCACCTCCAGTAGAGCAAGCACCTCCCCCCTCATCTATCGACGACATAGGGACTCGGATGGATCGTTTTGTACAATGACAAGATCGACTTCAACAATGCTAAGATTAAATCTTAACTAAGTTGCAACAGATTCACCGACAGTTTAATACCTTGTTAGACATTTTAACTTACCACCACCTGAATGAGCAAGAGATGAAATCTCTTTATTGTATTATGCTTACTTTTATGTTGTAATCTTATGTTGATTACCTTGCTGTTTGTAATCTTAAAATGCTGCTTACTATGATGCAAAAATTTCGTTGTAATCTCTTTTATGTTGTAATCTTATGTTGCCTACTCAGATGGTGAAATTCTGTGTTTACTTTGATGAATGTATCACTCTAAGAATTAGACTTAATAAATCTTTTAAATGAATAAATTCCTTGATACATTCAACTTTTGGTATTTATAACCTGACTCATTATTTGATGATCATTTGCGAAGTTAGGAATGTTAATTTGTCCGAATGCATGAATTTGTTAAATTTCGTTTTCGGACTTTCTTGATTCTTTGGATCACTCACTTAAATTCTGTGCTGATAATTTTATGATGCAAATTTTACATGATGATAAGGTTGTGTGCTTCAATAAAATGTTTACTTTGATGTTGGAATTTTGTGCTTTGATGCTGAAAGTTTTTATGATGTTGTGATCTCTTTAAATGATGAGTATGTTATCATACAATGATGCAATATCATGTTTACTTTGATGATTATGATTTCTATTGAATATTGAGAAGTTTTAATCATACATCGGATTCTTAACTTTTGAGTGCTACTAGCACTAATGATATTACCTCATGCAAGTAGTGATGAAAGGCTATGACAAAACATTTTATAAATGCATGAAGTGTTTATACACATCTTGATGTTTGATACATGGAAGTAATTGACAAATGCATCTCTCGTGGATTCCACTCTTATGAATTTTTAATGAGAAATAGATTTGATGTAATGCTCTTCTCACTATGAAGTTTTATTGGTGAATTTCTCCTTCATGTGATACTCCTCTCCCATGAATTCTTGTTATGAAAATTGAAGGAATTCCAATGGATATATTAATCCTTGAAAGATGAATTCTCGTGTGTGATAATGAAAGCACGAGTGATAATTTTCGTGGGGATTTGATTTCATATGGATATCTCGATCCTTTTCATGAATCCCTTCTCTTTGTCAAAATGAAAGCATGTTTTAATGAAAACTTATTTATCGTTTTTCGACTTGATTCAAATCATTTCACAAATTTAGTTCTTAATGGATTCCCTCCTTACCTTCTTTTCTCTTTTTTATGCAAAATGTGATGACAAAGGGGGAGAAGTTGTTAGAATCTATCATTTTAATGTTGATAACATTTAATGATGAGAACTTTTGAGTGTGAAACTTGCTTGATTTTTTTTACCACACTTGTATTGTTTAATTGTTCTCTTTTTTGTTGATGACAAAGGGGGAGAAATAATACCAAAATGTGGTAAATTGATGACAAATATATGCAATGTATTTCATCATATATACTTGAAATGTTTGCTTGATAAATTTCTTTCATTATGATAAGATATCTAGAGCTTCACTTGCTATTTTGTAATTGATATCTTGCCATAGAATGATGAATTGCTATCTTTGTCATCTTTCATATTTGAAATATCATACTTGAAAATGGATGTCATGCCTTGACATCATTTTGAGAAATACTTGGCATCGTATTTTGAGAATGATAGATCATGATAGGAATCATGATGTGCATGTTGATAAGTTTAATTAACTTATCTTATCGGTTTGTTTCTTGAATTCAAAGGTCTTAAATTCAAGAATGTCATTTCTCAAATACGACATATAGATAGGGGGAGTTAAGGTTAACTCCGTCATCATAAAAAAGAGGGAGATTGTTGAATCTCGGATTTTGATTATAAAGTCAATTGTAATTTGTTTGATCTAATCTATATGTTGAGAAAAGTGTGCAGGATTAACTACGATAGCAGTAAGACATAAAGCAGGTGTTGTGCCGAGTCAAGATCGAGATCTCATTAGGAGTTCGAGAGTTCGACGGAAGTCCGAACGTTCGTCGGAAGTTCTACCGGAACCAACCGATAAGTCTAGGAGCTTGCCAAAGAAGCTCGTCGGAACTCGTCAAGAAAATTGTCGTAAAGTCCAGGAGCTTGCCGGGAGTCCGCCGAAACATTGCTGAGAGTTCGTCGGATGTTCGCCGAAAGTACGCCGGAAGCTCACCGGAAGAGCAATTGACGCACCGGAACAAGAAGCACTGTAAATTATGTCTTAATTATTGTAGTTAGAGAGTAAATTAAGTTAGGATTGGGAGGTGATCCCACTAACTTAATTAGGGGCCAACTGGGCTCTTAACAGGGCTGAATTGGGCCGAATTGAGCACCCAATTCAGCCCCTGAAAATATGGCCGACGATGGCACCGCTAGGGCCGGCGGTGGCACCGCCTGGAAGGCTGTGCCCTTGGATTTCTGGGCGGTGGTACCATGCAGAGTCAGATCAGCGACGGTAGTACCGCCTAGTAACGGCGGTGGTACCGCTAGTACCCGAAATTCCCAGGATGTGATACTTTTTGGCTCCAATTTTGAAGCCATTGGGGCCTATAAAAACCCCACCATTTTCTACATGAAAAGGCACGAAAATATTGGCTTAATCTTGAATTTTTGAGTTATAAAAGTGTTGTAAAAGTTAGAGTTTTCCTCCTTCATCTCTTAACCTTGTAACCATCCAAGAAAGAGGAGTGAGACTTGTAAGGGTTGTCTCCTAAACCCGAGAAAAGGAGAAAGTGCTGTAAAGAGGTGTTCGGTTTTCACCTATTGAAGGAAGGCCTTTAGTGGATGCCGGTGACCTCGTTAGAGGAGGAATCCGAAAGTGGATGTAGGTCACCTTGACCGAACCACTCTAAATTCCGGTTTGCTTTTCATTTGTGCAATTTACTTTACTGCAAACCTCCTTAATCTTCTCTTGCACTTTTACGAAAGCTTTCAAGTTCAACTTCTCTCCGAAACTGATTGAATCGAAACCATTTTCGTTAGAATCGGTTTTAAACGAAATGAACAATTTTCTGAAATCACGAAAGTTTTCCGCTGCACTAATTCATCCCCCCTCTTAGTGCCGCTCTTGATCCTAACATTCTATTCTCTTCTGTGCCAATAATATGTTCCATGTTAAGAAAAAAAATCTCAAAAGTAATGCAGTTTGGTGGATTCTTACTAAACTAAGTGCATTCCATTGGTTAGACATCCAGGGATTGAAATCTTCAAATGGAGACTAGGGAAGCATACTTTGATCCTCTTCTGTGCACATAATGTGTTCCACATTTTCTCGATACCCTGAATCTTACCTAGGTGTTCATGGAGTATGGACTATACTTCATGCAAAATTGTATCAGAAACACAGTGAGGTGGTCAAAAATTTATTCTTTTAGGTTTTATGGCAAAGCACATTCCCTAAATAAGCATAAAAAGCGCTATATATAGAGATGTATGTGAAAAAAACCTATGAAGATGAAGGTGCTCATAGACTGAGGGGACAGGTCAGGCAGGTAAGCAACTTGATGAAGATAACTCACTTATGAGATTGGCAGCTATCACCTTCTTAACAATGCGTGCCACTATGGAGATGTATGAAGATAACTAGCAAGGATTAGTTTGTCAAGATGCCAAGAACCTTTTTAGTCTGCACATTTTACAAATTTCTTTTGCAAATGTTGTAATTATTTTTTGCTTGACAATTTCCCGTTTGCATGATAAAAGTGACCAAAGTACAAGTACAACTATGCAAATTATCTTCCCTCACTAACAATAGTGCATGAAATCAAGGAATAAAGAAGAGTAATACAATGAAAGACAATTTCTTGTTTCTAGAGTCCATTACTTTGCAAATTATATTGCAAATAAACAGACAATCATGTTGATCCTATTGATATGCTTCAGATATCCTAGATTGTATAGAAATGAAGTAAATGTAGGAAAGCAAATCAGGATTCTGAGAACACTGTAGGGCTTTGGTCTAAACATGCTGAATGATAAATTAGTCCAGAGGAGATTTAACGAATCTGTTTGCAGATTAAGATGTCTCATAATTGAAATTCAGTGTTTTACAATGGAGCAATTGAAACTGATACTATTCCAATATAAAGCTTGTAACACCCTTCATCTAGGCACTTTCAAATCAGGATCAACATATCATAAATTGTTGATTAACAAAGTAGGTCACAAGTTAGTCTTCTAAGTTCATGGCAGGTCAGTTCTGGTCAATGGTCTGAAAACTTTGCTATTAATTTTTAGAACGCTTCATACACAAAACCATGTACTTGTAGCAATAAACTAGGGTTCACTATTGAGATGATTTCGAGAACTCCTGTCATAGCAAAAGGTTGGTTACCAGTTCATAAGCTTGTTGGGCTAGCAAAACTTTCTCTGTGCACAGGCTCAATGCATTTTCCTGGCTAGCTTCGATCTCTTTTTTCATCTTCTCGAATTCTGCCTCATCATCTTCATGGATTACCTTCTTCGAGTAGTGAGAAGGCATTCCTAAACAATACCTTGTCTGTTCTTTTGTCTGGTTTATAATACCTGCATACAAAGTCAGGTGTACAAGAATAACTGAAGATATTTAGAAAAAGAAAGGAGGATAACATCAATACACTGAAATTTGGAACTATACACAAATAGTTATTAAGAAAATAATATTCAACAGCTTTGCCTTCCTTACAATGGATATTTTATACCAGGTCCTGTATACATCAAAGATTACTAATAGGGAAGGTTGGTCCATTGTAACTGGAAAGCACATTTTATAACAGCAGATTTTGCATGCACATTAAAATTAAGAACTAAATAAACTGGAACAAAATATAAGCATTTGTCACTACAGGGAAAAATAGTTCATCAACTATTCCATTCATAGTATGATCATCTTTTTGTATTTGTACTTCTTTGATATGCTTTTCTTTCAATATACTTTTCAAATCTCTAAAGATATTCTGTTTGAAAACCTAGTAGATTTAAAGAGTAATGTGTACTCAGAAAACATAATTATAAGCCATAAAATCAGAATTCATCTTGTGTTTGTGTGTGTACACATGTATGTAAAAATATTCAAATAGAAAAGCATAGATATCAAAAAATGATCACATACATATCATATTTATTTAAACTATATAGCATACTAATAAAAGGATTAGGGAAAAAAAATTAAAATATGCATCCATGAGAGACAAATAAAAATTAATTGTAAATTTTGAACAGAATAGCATAGCTTAATCAGTAGTAAGTGAGTTGGAATTCAAAACTTGATAATATACATATACTTATATATCTATATATATAAAAGAATCAGTAGGGAGTCAGTTTGAATTCAAAACTACATTTATAACAAGGTAATATAGGTTATCTACTTAAGCAATTTCTTTTCTCCTATATTTCACATTATCATTAAGTCAGCTTCTTACCAGGACGTTGTGTAGATAGTACCAACTAGGAAGAACCTTCTTAAAAATGTTGGTTATTGGTGCTCTGCCTACCAAACTTCATGTTAATATATGCTCCTAAGACATTCTCTTCTACAATGTGTATGTGCATGCTAACAAACTCATCTTAGAATATCAATTCTCACCTACAGATGAAAACATTTACAAAAACAAAATAAAATGAGTTAGAAATTCCATATATTCCACCAAATCGTTTGCATAGTCTTGCAAATGTGAAATTGAACCATGTTGTTACTGGAGGTGAAATAAACCGTGCCACCATGTTACTTGTAGCTGACAATTGATCGGGGTTTCATAAATAGTGGATTGGCAATTCACAGATTCTGATCATTTAAATCTTAAACATCTACATTTTTTAAGATTCTCAAAGAAGTTAAACTGAAGAAACCTATCTGCTGATATCTAATTGTCAAGCAAAACAAGAACATGTGTGGTGTGAAACAAGACATGACACACTTAATTTTTTTCCTTTACTCAAAAGAACTGCAGATTCTTCTCTGTATCATTTGAGATTCATGAAATAAGACATATAGTCTCAAGCATTCATTTAGATCAACAACTATTTATTGCTTATAAAATATAATCAGGTCTGGTACCTAAGGACATCAGGTACTTGTTATACATGTTCCTACAACCTACAATTAGAGTTTGACTTCTCCATGTTTTTGCGGCCCCTCTCAATTTTGATGGGAATGGATAAAGAAACTGTTCCATACATCATCAACTTAAAGAAGCAATTTGTTATTGTGCAATCAACCTGAAATTCTCTACAGTACTAGAAATTGATACAAATTCCTAGGACAGAAGATATTCTTTTTAAACCCATGGAAAACTAACCTTAATTGTAATATGGATTTAAGTAAAAACAAATTTACAATGATTTTCCTTATTGTGATATATATCAAAGGACAAGATGCATATTTTACTGATACAAGCATAACATATTAGTTTCTATAGTCAATCTTATACTTCTCTTTTCTTGTCCATACACGTAAAATCTTCTTGCCTATCAAAGGTGTAACGCTACTAAAGGGAACTATCACATCCATCATTGAGCAATATGAGATCTTTTCCATCTTCTTTAGCTCATTATGACAGCTTGAATCAGAGGATACATAACAAAGCTAAATAAGAAACTGAAGGGATCATTCGTTTTAGCATTCACTAATCCGAACAAACATTTCATTCCCAGACAAGGAAAAAAGCAGCTATAATTCACACATAATCACACATAAATCACATATCAAGAATAATCTGGATGACCAGGATGAGGATATCATTTCGGGAGGACCAAACACACACCATGAGCTCGTTCGTCGAGTTCTCTCATGGTGGACAGTAGCCTCTGGAGCTCTGCCGCCAACGTGCTCGAATCTTGATTCAAACAACCAAAAGAAGGGTTTTTCTTAACAGAAGAAAAGATACAAAAATCTACGTCAAAACGATCAGCAAAGAGAGAATAGATCGCTTACATTCCAAATAATCGTCGACGAAGACCCCGGTCCTCGCGATTGCCATCTATCTTTCAGGCTAGGGTTACTTCTCCGTGTCGGGGACGAGGGGGCTTCAATTCGTATTCCGGAGGTTAACGCAGTGGTTACCGCAAACCGACAGGGGTATTTTAGGAAATCAAAAGTTGTACGAATCAAAACGTTCGGTTACCAAATATGTAAAACGACGAAGCCAAGAAGAGAGGCGATTGCGGTGGATCGACGCACCGCGCTCTTCAAGTCCGGGCCCGGCGGCGAAGGCCGCGGAGGGATGAGAAATAGTGGGGCGGCGGCCGATCGCGGCTGCGGTGGAAGCGGCGATCGATGGCGAGGGCGAGGACGAGTTCCCACTCCCAAGACTCTTACACCTTGCTCAAAATAATGCCCAAAATAGATACAAACCTTTGACAGAATGGTTGAATAACGCGAGAAATTTATCAGGGGTGATGTTGCCCTTAATAACAATGCGATGGCCCACAAGCTTGCATGGAGTACCTAATGACCACATCAGCATTTTAATGTTTCACGGGTGACTCCGTGAGGCTTTGCGCTCATGTCAAATTCAAGTTTTCTGGAATCTTCACAGGAGAAACTTAAAAAGACTACTCTCCGGGGGCTTATATGCAAGAAGAAGCCCTAAATATGATCGCGTGGATTGAACTCTTCCATCCGCCTCGTCCCATTTGTTCGTCTCCGCTCCTCTATTTATCGCCAGATCTGTTCCTCTCCCTATAAAAGGCCGATTTTTTTGGATTTGTCGGCCTATATATGCAGTTTTCAGCCATTTCCCGCTCTAATCCGACCTTTGCCGACCTCCAATCATCCGGGCAGACCTAGAATTCGTCGAGGTGCCGGCGGATACGATGATGAATTGGGTCCGATCGTGAGATCTATACTTCTGCCTTGATCCTTCGACGGTTTGCTTATGTCCTCTATTCTGGTCTGCGAGAAGTCACGACACCGATAAATCGTTCTGATGTTAGTATCTTTGCCTGCTTCCTATCAGATTCGCCCTTATTCGACCTGTTGTTGATTTGGAGCGGCAAGTATTTGGTGATACCCGTTCAGTGGAAAAATATTCGAAAGATCGGTGATCTATAGATCAAGTCAAGTTATTTGAAGGAATTTGAGTACAATATGCGGTTTTGAAGAGAAGCGAGCAAATATACTTGAATTTTTTTGTTGTAATTGACACCTCAGGAGTTGGAAAGTGGATCATGGCTGATCAGGGCCTTGAGGGGAGCCAACCGGTCGATCTCTCGAAGCACCCATCTGGCATTGTTCCCACGCTTCAGTAACTCTCTCTTCTCTGTATTGTTCCTAAAGAAATATCTTGGACTGAACTTGCATGTTAGATATTATGTAAGAACACAAAATTAATCCAGGTATCTCTGAGTCTGATTGTCCAGATTTTTCCCACTACATAGGCATACTCAACCTGCAGTCTGGTACTAATGGAGCTATGATTTGTGTTTTAGTATTCTGTCAAGAGATTTGTGATCCAGGTGCCTGTGGTTGTATACAGTATTGCCATGATTATTGTAAATGAAGCCCTTGAGCTTTCTGTTTGACTGAGGATTGGTATACTTGTGGTACACTGTCAGCTTAATTGATGTCCTGGGGCTTTGTTTCTGAAATTATCAAAGGACTGTTGAACCATTTTTTCCATGGAATTCCAAGCCTTTAGTTAATAAAAAAATGTTTGCTTCCTCTTTCATAACTTATTCTGAGTGCGATCAAGCTGATCTGTGATAGCTTCTTAAATTATGTGAAGATAGGGAATTGATCTCATGCTTGCCTGGGAGTTGTTCAAAGAATTACTGCATTTGCTGTCTAATCGGTGTTTGGTGATTGCTTCACTCTTGTTTGTGTTATAAGGAACTTTTATAATGATATATATTTTTTCTTGAAATATGTAACTAAGTACCACATACTTTCTTTTACCGTCATCATATGTGATTTTCTTCAGTTAATATGTTCCAAAAATGTAAAATTTGTGCTACTGCTGTTATGAGATTTTGTGGATGAATTAATTCCAGCAGTTGCAAGTTTGTGTGGAAGAAAGATAATAGAACGTGGCTCGGGCAGGCGAGCTCTTGTTATTTCCTAAATAAGATGAATCAAGCTTCATATGAGGCTCAGCTTAAAAAAATAATGGAACTTAGGCAGGCTCAGCTTCCAAGATTATGTCACAACTTGACTCAGCTAAAAGTTTTTCTCAAGGATTTTTCTAGTAGTTAATAACCTAGAGAGATAAATTAAACTCAATTATCCCTTGCGTGCTCTGTCAAACTCAACTATCCTTTTAGCACCTAAAACAGTTACTGGGTTTGGCTTGTATTCAGTCCTATTTTTGTGCCATCCATATGAGAGGGGGCAAACTGTTGGTTATTTAACCTATTGATTAGCTTGAATTCTTCCATTTACTTTGATGTCATATATTGGTAGTTTAGATAATTTTATGTGTTAAAAGGAAGCATAAATATAACTTTTTTTATGAATTTCCAGATGTTTTGTTTCAGTCCTTTATTTTTTTCTTGCACAAATTGTTGACAGTTGGCAAAGACTAACACTTAGCTGTTTTGAAACTCAATATTGATATCCACATATAGGTTCTTTATGTTGCCTAGAGGTTGCTGAGCATGTGAACTGATTATTATGAGCCACTATTGCTTCCTGAGACCTGTTTGTATATATTGCTGTTGGTTGACAATGTAACAACATAGTCATAGTGGTTCTTCTTACATTGAGTTTCTTTTGGCACCAGGAATATTGTTTCAACTGTTAATTTGGACTGCAAGTTGGATCTCAAAGCAATTGCTCTGCAAGCTCGTAATGCTGAGTACAATCCCAAGGTATGAGGTAAAGTTAGATGTTGATCCTCTTAAGATGCAGGGGCTGTTCCCGAACTTTATGGATTGTGTGTCTCACTGTTGTTGTCTGTCATTCATCTTGTTATTTTTAATTTCTCCTGACACATGATTCTAAAGTCATGATCAACCACAATTAATGATCAGCATATGGAATCGGTATTTCATGTTGTAACTTAATTTAAAATCAGATGAGGAACTTTGAGATCATAAAGGACCAACTTGAACAAGCAAGCCTTGTATAGAAAACTCAATACACACTATATTGAGATGTTTATGAACTTTCAGTGACATGCTGAATGTAACCTGAAGTACATATAAATGTCTCACATAATTATCTCTTTTGTGTCCATGCTTTGAGATGAACATTGTTTCTATAAGAAAGCTCATCCTATTGCCTTAGTGAATTTCAAGCTCTTAAAGTCAAGGGCTTGTCAATCTCATGATCTTAAACTGCAACAACTGGAGTTTTCTTTAAAAGAATAAAATCTTGTATTTGGCTTGTAAGTTTTCTCACAAACTACATCTGCTTAAATGTGCCATGTTGGAAATTGATATCAATTCTAAAAGTTGATGTGAGGTTGACTGCTGATTTTTGCATATGGCCTTGTGTGCAGCGTTTTGCCGCAGTTATCATGAGAATAAGAGAGCCAAAAACTACTGCATTGATATTTGCATCAGGAAAAATGGTAAACATTTTTATTTTCTCTATATGTTGGAAGGCTTTCATAGGCATAGTGGATGTGCATCAACTTATTCTACTAGTCAATTGATACATTTATAGATCTCATATGTTGTACTTTTCCTTTTTTGTAGACTTGATTTCCAGATTTTTCTTCAAATGATACGAAGGATGTGTATTTAATATTTTTTTCTCTTGATAGAAAACTATTGCTTTTTTGCATCATCAGTATATTTTATTTTGTCAAATCTTGTAGGTACCTTTGTTCACACATAATATCGCAGTTTTTTTATATTGTCACAGTTAAGTCTGTAAAGTTGTAAATATTACAGATGCCTATTTAAATTCAGAATCTGTCATGAATATCATTCTGGTACTGTAGATACTTATTTACAACTCTGTAAAGTTGTAAATGTTATTTTTCTTATTTACTGTAGGAAAATGTGATTATGCAAGAAATTAGATATATTGAATAGCCATCATGTGTAAACATGTGGAATGCTCTGAAAAGGATTTATATTTTTTTTTCTGTGTATCAGGTCAGTGGTTTTAGTGAAAAATACACATCAAATGTGATGTTGCATTTGTGGTTTTAGTTATAATGATTGATTTAGATACTTCCAGGCATACATGCTTGAAACTCAGATTGGGCATGAGCTGACCTCTAAACTGTCTTAAACTGCATGTAACAAGAAGGGTTATAGCATGTACACGTATAAATGTTGAGGATTGCTACTAATAAACCTTTTAATGTAATAAAAGACTGTTCTTTTTTTCTTGCAGAAGACTATTTGACTGTTCATTTTCCAGTGGAGGAACTAAGTTCTAAATGAAGCGAAGATCTATTATATTTGTAATTTTAAATGATTGTTGATGTTAGGATCGGGGTCGGCACTAAGAGGGGGGGGTGAATTAGTGCAGCGGTAAAATCACGTCTTCAAAACTTTTCGTTTCGATTAAAACCGATTCCGATGAAAACCGATTTCGGAAACTTAACTTTGAAAGCATACATTTATGAAGTGAATGCAGTAGGCAAGTAAAGATTCAGTTTGCAGTATGTAAATGGCAGGAAGTAAATGCAAACCAGAGAACACGTCAATTTTATAGTGGTTCGGTCGTCGTGACCTACATCCACTTCGCTGATTCCTCCTCCGTCGAGGCTATCGGCATCCACTATCGATCTTCCTTTAATAGGCGAAGATCAACCTCCTTCTTACACCCCTCTTCTTCTTTTACCGGGTTTAGGAGACAACCCTTACAAGCACTCACTCCTCTCTTACAGAATTTTAACACTTAGACTAGAGGAGGATTTTCACAAGAGATTTCTACAACGTTTTTCTACTTTTAAACTCTCTATGCTTGTGTCTTTTAACCAGGGATGAGAGGGGTATTTATAGGCTTCAAGTTGATTCAAACTTCGAGTCTAAAAACATCTCATCCCGAGTTTCCCGGGCACGGGCGGTACCATCGCCCAGAGTCAGTCTGAGACTGACACTGCACTAGGCGGTACTATCGCCTAGGGTGCTGTGTTGGGCGGTACCATCGCCTAGCACCCTGCCAAGGGCGGTACAATCGCCCAGACTAGCGGTACCACCGCCTGACATAGTCTCGAAGACTGTGCCATGACGGTGAGACTTCTTGGAGCACTGTTTGGGCCTCTCATTGGGCCCAATACAGTCTTTACATGGGCATTGCTGGCCCCTAATTGGGTTGGCCCAAATCCAAACCCAATTACGTGCTAACTACGAAATTTAAGACATAATCTGAGCTACACAAGTCCGTAAGTCTATTCTTCCGACGAGCTTCCGGCGATCTTCCGGCAATGTTCCGGCAAACTCCCGGCAAGCTCTTGGACTTCACGACGATCTTCTTGGCGAGTTCCGACGAGCTTCTCTAGCAAGCTTCGAGATTTCTCGGCTGGTTCCGCCAGAACTTTCGACGAACGTCCGGACTTCCGACGAACTCTTGAACTCCCAACGAAATC